AATTAAAACAAATCCATTTATAATTTTTTGTGTCACATATTTTAATATGTGTGCATTTTACTTCTTCAAATGTTTTCTACACGACATATAAAATTAAAAATAAAATTTTGTTTCCCAAATTTTGTTTCCCAAATTTTGTTACGAATTATAGGTCATCTAAAAAGAATGGCTTCAATTATATCGAGACCAACCGAAAACACTATTTATTTCGACTGCAAAATAACTATGTTATGTTCAGGATGATACCTAAGTTTATTGCCAAAACCGGAAAAAAAATCATATAATTAAAAGTCTAAATGTACTAGATAACCCACAGAGATTTAAAACGCGCGTTACATATATGTATATGTGGCCTATTATTTAGATATGATTTTATATATATATATATATATATATATGTTAAAGCAAAATTAATTTTGTAGATAATCGTTATTCCCATTATCGATGTATATTTTGTAAAATAACTATTTGCGGAATGGAATGCTAAATTGTATTTTTTTTTTCTTTTTTTGAAATAGAATGGCTCGTATGAATTCCGCGAAGTTTTTCATTTTCATAAATTGAGAAAATAGATATCAGCTCAGCTCGTATAAATTCCACAAAGTTTTCCATTTTCATAAATTGGGATTTTCCAGTGGCTCCCAGCATATTTCTAAGCGCGGAACAGAACAAGTTAACTTTTACTGATGATATATATTATGATGATATAACTAATGATGCTCTTCATAATCATTCCATTCAGTTCTGTTCGAGAGAAAGATTATCAGACTTCTCCCTACCCAGGAAATCCAAAAAAAAAAAAAAAAAAAAAGAAATATCTCGCATCTGCCAGTTGTATCGTGTTGCACTCGCCCGTTTAAAATTCCGTCGAAATCGACGATCATAAATTTAGCCTCGTCTTATTTCCGTCGAAGTAACAAAAGTTTGCGATAGCGGAATACATCGCGAAATCCGCGCGTTGCGCCGGAAACCGGAAGCGACGTGGGCACGAAGGGGTTAGAGGCGCCCCTTGGTCGTCGTTCCGAAGGATCGTTACGGTGCATTCAGGAATGCAGCGCGGACTGGTACATTTGGCGGAGGGGAAACTCGGCAGTCGCGCTCCGAAACTTGAAAATAGTTAAAGTGAATAACTTTAATGTGCATCGCGCGAGCAGGGGCGCCGAGGGGGCGAATCGGTCACGATCGCACGAACGCGACGCATTATGGCGGATATGGCAATTGTCATAGATTTAACGTGCACAGATTCGGGGTCTTCTCGAGATCAATTATTTCCGCAGCTTCTCTTTACGACATTATATAAATTTGCTTTCAAAAGTTGTCTCATTTTTTTTTCTCAGTTCTAAGATAAAATCGCTGCGGAAAAAATGATTTCTGCTTCAAGTGCCACGTGGCACAAGTTGTTTCGCGCATAAGTTGACATTCGAAATAATAGCGGTGAAAAAAGCGCGCGGTCAATTACTTTAGTGTCTTTAGCCATGAAGATACATCTGGATATGAATATAGAGTTCTCGAGAAGTCGAGAAAGATTACTTTCTACGTTATCACGAATGTCTTATCTATCCAAACGCTCGTAAAGAAGATTAACTTTCCTCCGAACAAAAGATGTGTACGATAATCACACCCTATTTTACTTCTCAAACTATCTACAAAATCTACTCTTCGTCTTCACTAATCTGACAGCAATCGTAGCAATTTTTTTCGGAATTACACTTTTTTTATCGATCAAAGTTACATATGATAATGGAGAATCCATCCCTCCACGTTTCATCGAGAAGAGGATATATATCAGAGATAAATTTTACCAATCTTGAAAATGTTCCGTAAGTGAAGTTGAAAATAGCGCGAAAGAAATCTATGACTTCGCATTTCGATGTCAAGCTTGCACCTGGCGGAATCGTTCAGCCTCGAGAGATCAGGGGAATCTGCAGCAGCGCGGGACGAGAAACGACTCGAGATTCGACACTTTTGTTGACACTTATCTCGTTCTATCTAAGTCTCTACCGAGGCGCTAACTAAACCCGTTTCATTCAATTACCAGCGGAATCGCAGCAGCTGCGCCGCGAGTACCAAGCGACGAGTTCGACGACGACGACGGCGTCGACAACGATGACGACGACGCGCTGTTCGACCACCATGCAACGTCTTATTATGTAAATTTAATGATGTCGCCGATGCAATGCATGTGCTCTCGTGCCCTCTCACGGTCGCGCCGGCGGGTTCGTGCGAAGGTACCTTAAGGTTTCTACCGGGGGAACACCTGATAAACCGCGCGACATTTGGAAATGTCAGAGTGATAAATACGGCTCCTGCGTGGTGGTAATGCAACCGCTCCCTCGCTCTCTCGTCGACCCCTTTGCCAACCTCGTATGTCTCACGCGCGTTGTCGTTCTTCCACGACTTTCTTCCCTGAGTAACCCAACCCTCCCCTTCCCTCTGCGCCTTCGCCCCATGCTCTCACGGTGAAAGTGTTGCGCCCGCGGGCGATCGATTCGCGCCGGGGATGAAGGTTTTATCGCGACTCGAATGTTATCGCGAAGTCGAAACGAGTCTGTGGAACGGATTCTCGTAGCTTTCCATCGTGAAGAATAGAGATACTATGTCAGAGTCTGGTCGATTCACCGGTCTCAGTCAATCACACTTTTATTTGAGCAGATGCGCGTAGAAGTTAATGATATTTAAGCTTTGCATCACTGCTCCGAAAGATATTTCTTTAAATTCCTGTATTGCATAAATTAATAAAAAAGAATGCTTCCTTTAACTTTTGTTTATATCTGTCAATTATTTTTGCACGAAACATTATCGTTGAGATCGTAAAAGTAGAAAATTATGTGTTGACAGATAATTGTATAAGAATTAATTGATTTACGTCAACAATTTAAAAATGAATAAATTATGACTTATCGCGTTTATTATTATTGGTATCAATAGCAGCCACGGAAACATAACAACAGTTATTTTGAGAGAGATTCTGATTCGAGAATTTTGAGAAATAATTACTTCACGTGTAGAGAAATTCGAAGTATCGAGTGACAGAATGTTAGCAAGAAGCAATGTCACGGTGCAACGCCCCGTTTTTCAACAACGATAATTATGCTCGTTTTTCCGTTCACTTCGTCGGAAAATCTTAATGGAAATGTCGTGCTTGCGTAATAGAGTTTAAAATGGAATTTCGCTTGACGACTGCAGCGTGCCTCGGTAAAATGAAACAAGTTTCTGTTTTCGACAACGGATGTTATCTAGAATTTTCCCACGTCGTAAGATAAAAATTAGAAAAATATTAGAAGAATGAACGAGTTGTTAGAAGGATGTGCGAAAAAGAAAGACGTGTGACTATGAAGATGTAAAAAAATCAGTTGCTCTCATATCAATGTCAGTCAAATCTTATATAAGAGAGTTAATTAATTATAAAAGAGCACACAATTATTTTAACACATAAAAATAATGATTTTTCTTGTTAGCTAAATATTCTTTCTCCGTCATAATTTAAGAAAAAATAGCGATTACTTAATTTGTAATAAATGCCTTAACATTCAAAATAGATAAAATTGAGAATTATTATTAATCTTTCATCAATCGATTTTTTTTTAGCATTATATTGTAAATATGTAAGGATGACGAGCGATCCGATGGTGGCTAACGATACTGTGTAAGGTACTCTGTCTCGTTTTTTTTTTCTCCATTCAACTCGCGATTTTCATCGTCGAGTAGTTAAGAAGTGCATATATAATGGAAAATTCCATTTACATACACTATCAAGTAGTTTTACATGCGAAAAAGTTTCTCCGAGTCACGCCGTGGATACGTCGACTTGACAAATAGGGCCCGCGTGATAATGCAATCGCGTGACGATCCCCCTGCTCCACGGGGATGTTTTCGTCTTGCTGCTTTTTTCCATTCACCGCGGGGAAGCGTTGCCTCGGGACAATCGATTCGCGCCGAAAATAGAAGCTTCATCACGAGTAGTTGGATCGCGTGGATTCTTAATTATTATTCGTTGGTAATTGAGGTATTATCCGGTATTAAAGTACGGTTCAGCTTTCACAGAAAATCACTGCCAGTAACAGTTTTTTTTTTTTAGAGACATATTTATATTTTTATAGACAGCATGCGATTACGTATCTCCTTCAAATCAATGAAACAAAGCTCGGTAATCTGAAATAGTATGGAATAACGTCGCACGAATGAAAATAAATAAACATCAATTTTAATAAAAACATTAGTCACTGTTTTTCTGTAGAGAAGCCGAGTTATCGGGAACAACACTCTATCAACGCCACTCCATTTTGCATTGTTAAATATTTAACTACACTTCGATTCCCTTTGATTGATTGGCTATATTCTCTCTTATATTCATGCAAAAGCTGCCTTTCATTTTTAAATTTTGCACAGAACATAGAAGCGATATCGTCGTTGCACGCATCAGGATCACTCGCGATTCCGCAAAGCTAAACGAGAGGTGAACCACAGATCCGAAATTTATAAGCACTTGTAATTACTGCAATATCCGAATATTGGATAATATTTCTCATCAAATATAGTACATGCATTATTAAATTATTAATAAATCATAAATTCATCATAATTTCAAGTAATTATAGCTTGCCAGATAAATTGACTGTATACACAATATAATGACAGATGTAATATTATCTAAATATTTAAAAAATTCATCTAATTTAGATAATCGCGATATATAATATTATTTAGACAAACATTAATTAAACGCTAATTATTATTAATAATACAAAATCATCGATCAGTACAAAACTTCTCCAACAATTTACTCCGGATCTACGGCATTTGTGGTCCACGGGTTGATTCGAGAGGCGCATAAAGAATCCATCGGATCATATAATCAAGACGAGAACGACAGAAAATCTCGTTTGTTCCGCGGTCGAGCCGCGAGCTCGTGGTTCCCGGTGGTCGGGGCATCGAAGGGGAGAAGGGGACGGGGGGGGAGGGGAATGAGCAGAACACTGGGGGTAAGAAATGCCACCCACCTCGACCACCGCCGTAGCAGTACGTGTACTCGTTATAATCCATGGACGGCCTCTTGAGTAATCCCTCGCCCGGCACTAGATCCAGCAACGCGGTGGGGTCGCACATTGAGGAGAGAACGTTCGCTTCTCTTTGTCATCGACAGCGACAGAGACGGAGGAGACGTGGGAAGACTCGGCGATATTTCGTCGATCCGCGCAGCGCGCGGATGAGGGGATAAACTATCACAGCGGCGCGATCACACGTGTACAACACGTCGTCGTCGTCGTCGTCGTCGTCGTCTGGTCTCGAATCACCCAAGACGAGGCAAACACACGAGCTTATTCGTCGCTTCGTATAAACGATCCTTCCGGTTTGGACTTCAAAGGGGAAACCCGCGACGTCGATGGATGGCGCGCGACCGAGCGCGTTACGACAAAGCGCGCGAAACCCCCACGGTAACGTATCCCGAATTAAACTTCGCGGCGGGCGCGTTGAAATACGACGAGACAGCGAGAAACCCTCTGTCTCTCGACGGCACCTGTCCCTCTATACACTTCGCCAAGAGGGGCGGGGGGTGGGGGAGGGAGAGGAGAGAAGGAGGGCAGGAGAAAAAAAAATAGGTTCGTTGTTATTGGAGTCGCGCGATCCAGCCTGTCTATCGTCCGTCGCGAACGGAGACTTCGGGCATTCCTCGCTTTGCGGTCGCGACTGTTTCAATTCGCGCCGACATCCGTATTTCCTTCATTCACTGCACTTTGTGCGGCGCACGCAAAAATCTCACAGACACTCTCGCACCTTTGAATTTCGAAATCGACGCCTTCAACGTCGTTTCGATCGTCGTTTCACATACGCGTAAATCGAAGCGGCTGAGAAAGGGAGAGAAAGAAAGAGAGAGAGATATATATATATATATATATAAGTCGGAGTATACTCTGTCAAAATTGCACATCTAATGTGCGATACTCCAACGAGTACTCATCATTTCGTCATGCGAAATGGCTGCGAGTAGCCGAGCGGCTCTTTCTCTCTCGTCACGATGAAGATTAATAATAACCCGCTCGCTCTCGTGATAGTCCGTGACCAATTGAAAGCGGGGCACAGCGTGGGACTTGGTCGAGTTGCCCCGAAAATTAAGGAGCGTGGATCTTCCGCGGATGATCTGACGAGGGTCGGCGATTCGCTTCGCCGTATGAGTCGCACGTTTCGATCGATCGATAAAAGCGACCATCAACGATCCCTTTCCCGATTCGACGTTGTCGGGGAAAGCTCGCTCGCGGAAACCGGAAGTATCGCGAGTCACGTCACTTCGTCGAAGGAGAGGCCCGCGCCTCGATCGACGTCCTGTCGTGCAGATGGTGTCAGCGGAGGACGCGGATTACGAAAATGTATTCCGGGAAAATTTCAGCTGACCCCGCGCGCGGACGCTTGATACACGCGATCGGGGGTTCACGCGATTCTCGACAATTTCCTCGATGCTGATCTATCACTTGGCACACACCCGGCAACGAATGTCGAATAATTCGACATTTAGGGAATCACAGTTGTCTTACTCCACTTGATCTTACCGAGCGGGATTGTAATCGGCATCGACTTGCGTAGATCCATTCGCGTCGCGGATCATTAATGAAAACGTGATATCGTTCCCGTGGTTCACGTTTCGAAGTAGAACCGCACGCTTGCGCGGTCGGTTGCAGACTGAGGACAGAACGCCAGCCGATGACTCCCGACACCGCGGAGGATGGTGGATGCGAAATAGTGGGGGTAGGTAAGCGAGTGGAGGGGGAAGGCAGGGAGAGATCCTTGGGCGGCGGGGAGGTTTGCGTAAGAGGCATTTTGGAGCAAGGGTGGAAGAGGTCTGGTTGAGACGAGGCCGATGTTGAAGGGAAGGGAAGGGGGAAGCAGGAGGACAACAGCCGGTCCTCGACGATCACAGCACCCACTATTCCACTGATGCTGCAGCGGATCCCGTCGAGAAAGAAGACCCGCTCTCCCTTTCTCGCATCGCCGCCGCCGCCGCCGCCGCCGCCGCTGGGCCAACTCTACTTCGGGTTCTCACACCTCTTCTTCCTGCCATCTCCACCAGCCAGGGGCGGATCTGTGTCGGAAACTAAAGTTTCGTTACTTTCAAGAAACCCCCGCGAAATAACATCGCTTAAGATTCTTCTGATTGAACATTAGATAAAATAAACTCTCGAGTTTAACCGATTCCCGACAATGTGTGTTTCTAACTTCTTTCCTAATAATAATTTCTTCTTTTCTATATAATCTAGAAAGAGACGAGAATTATTTAAAGCCTTAGCTAACTTTAATTAATCTATGTCACCACATAGTTTTCAGAAATACAATTATCAATCTTTTAAAATAATCTATAGATATATTAAAGAAGCCACATGTTTTCTCCTTTAATATCTTCTTGTCAAAGAATTTAAAAAATAATTAGCTACAAATTTTGACAAAGCACCGTCCGTCCCTGACACCGTCCGTTTTATCGGAGCAATCAATTTCTGGCGGCTGATGAACGATTAAAGTGTATCGCGAATATTAAACGCAGAAAGAAAAGGGGGACTGGACGGGATAACGAGGTGTTGCGCCATTTGTACTTTCGATCTTCGCCCACGATCTTCGATTATTATTGGGCCGGATGCGGCAGATAGAAGTCGATTAGCGTGGGCACGGCTTTGCAAATTGGAAATCGAAGGATTTCTCTGATGTACCACGTGCGCGGGCGATTGGAATGCAACGGAGGAGAAAAGGTGATTACGAGAATCGTAATCACGGCTATTGAGGCAATATGTCACTACACATATACATATATGTATATGTATAATCGCATTTTCTTTGTAAGAATGTAGGGCGTATTTCTGAAACATAATAACAGACGGTACGCAAAGATTCTGCGAACGCAAAAATTATTCCTGAAGCTTTTACTCTTTTTTTTTACAATATCGTAAAAAAATCAGGAATCACAATTACATCGGAGATAAATTAAAATATGTTGAACGCGTTCATCTAACTGCTATATCAAATTGGCAATTAGGAGGTTACATTATGCCATCGCGCTGTTGTTTATTATACATATATAAACACGCAGCAAAAATTATTCGCGGAACTCGCGTGTTTATTAATGATACAAAAATATCTGAAATTCGTGTTGCTGGGACAGCAATAATAATTAATGTTGTTACCGGGTAACTTTAGAATGATATTTCTCTTGTGGGGTAACTTTACGATACGTGATGGTGTACACAGGAGTTTTAATAATTCTCTTCCAACTAAAATTGTGGAAAAGCGAGGTAAAACATCGTTCCACAAAACATTATAATCGTAATGTTCCCTTTTCCATAACGTAAAATATCTAATATAGCGTGATGTAAGCATTAGTTTCGCACGGCTTTTGATGCAATTTCAAGAAAGGCGCAAAATATATTTCTGACATATTTTTATTTCAAAGTATATTCATTCGAGCTGTAAAAGCTTCATCGTCGATAAACTTTGAATATATGCAATAACGTTATCTGTTTATGCAATTATCTGAATTGCTTTCCAATCACCCTCGATTTGTGTCCATTCCGCATCCTAAACAATATACGCAGATTACAATTACAGATTCCAATGGACATTGCGACTGCAAAGGGATGCGTTGTATGCTGCATTTCTCGCTGTGCTTACTCAATAATAAAAAGTTAAATAAAGTTTGTTCAAAGATAATATCACGAAACAATCTGTTATTAATACAAAGATTTAAATTCTATAATTAATCGTAAATAGGAAAAAGAAGGTTTGCATCTGATCTCTTTTCGCGAATAAAACTTTGAACTCTCGAGAATGTATTAATATGTGCACGTGTGTATGTCCCGAGAGATTCTCTTGTATAATAACAAACTTGCCGAGTGATAATATTTATCAGGATAATAGGTTTCTCGTGCATACCAGGGCGGATTAATTGCGATTGCGTTTCCGCAAAATAAGGGAAAATAATTGTTTAGCGTCAATATAAAGATCGCTGATAAAAGAGTGCATCCGTGCCAGAAAAAATCTTATCCCCTGCATCGTTTTTATTGAAAACCCGTTGCGAGTATCCGCGATCCTTCTTACTTATCGTTAGCCCACATTATGTGCGTTCCGTTATAATAATACATTCGGCTCGCAATTTTTGTTTCACCCCGCGGCGAATTAACGCTCGAGAGAGTGCGAGTTAACAAGACCACGCGAGTAGCTTAACGAGACTTAAATGATCCGCAGGATGCGCGGCGGATGCTGCCGTGGCATCGCGACAGATTATTGGTGCGACGTGAAAAATCGAGCGATATTGCATCGTACGCGGAAACAGGACGAACAGGATGGGATATAGGGGTGGATGCGAGAACATCGTGCCATCTCGCGTTCAAATGTTTGCCGAGGGGTTTGAGAGATCGTCGACGACGACGTCGCGACGGCGACTGGTCGAAGGAGACCGGCTTCGATTGTCGCCGGCCGGATATCGTCGGACTCGGCGCGATCCCCGTTTTCTATTATACAAAGTTTACCTCTTCCTCTGTGGGTACGTCCTGTTATTTTTATTTAAAAATTAGTTTTTTTTCTACACAAAATTTTATTAAAATTCTCCCTTGAATATAATATATATCGCGTTTTGTCAATTTTCCCGAGACACGTAACTTTATAAATTCGAAAAAGAGTTGGAAAGAAGTAAAGGTAGATGGCAACGATAAAAGTAGAGGGTAAAGTTCGGATTAAGGGATCAAGGATACACTCGCAATTTACAATTCTTTATTCGCGTCCGTAACTCGTTCTCAGTGAGCCAGTTATTTCTTCGTAGATAATGTATTACGTAATTTATAGAAGACTTGTGCATAATATTGCGGAAACATGAAGAGAGAGAGAGAGAGAGAGAGAGAGAGGGAGTAGATATATCTTCAATATACACAAACACAAAGGAAATTTTGTTTGATATATTTATAAAATTATCCGTGCGCGAACCATGTTGAAAACTTAGACAATAGCCGTAGATTTTAACAGCAGCTTTATACCAAGAGAGAAAGAGGGGATAATTTAAACTGCATTATCTAAATTCCCCCAGAGCATCCATTTAAATTCTCACAGTACGGAATTGTTTTTCGCGGAAGATTTCATACAGCTGGGTTATTATAAAAAATTCATTTAGCGGTCGGACGCAGAGAATCCGCTCCTCTCGCTGCTCTCTCTCCCTCACGTGACTGTTCTGAATTATGCGCGTGCCTCGGAGAGTTTCCGGGCTTTCGGCTATCGTTTTACCAGGTCACCCGGATTCTCCGAGTTCGCTCGAAACAGCGAAATAAGCGTGACCTAATAGGTAGACGCTTCCCTTGTTTTTCCCACCGTCCACGACATCGGGCTTTCTCATCGCTGCCGTCTCCGCTCGTGCTTTATCCGGTTGGACAGTTTTCGCGCTACGGTCCGACGTGCGATTAAGTTATACCTACAGCGGAGTCAGAGCGGCCCGAGTGAGACGCGAGCGCAAGCAGATAAAAACCTTTCCGGCTCTCGCGTCCGTGCTTAACGGACTCGAGATAATAA